AAAAAGGACATTGGAAATAAGTGGAATATATTGTTTGATGTGATTGCCTCTAAGATAATATGCTTGGTAAGGAAATGAAAATAAGCAATGTGGACAAAGTTAAAAAAAAAAAAAAAGAAGCAGGAGAAGAAGCAATGCCAATCTCTTATTAGAAATAAGGAGAGACGTTTTGAGGCAAAAATCTTTTTCCCTTCCCCACTAAAGATTCTCGACCCTTTCAGTTCTCTTCTCTGAGCATGGCCATGGAGCATCAGATTCTGCTGGATCTTGCGCCTTCCGCGCCCCCACCCTCACCCACGCTTATCTGAATGTATAAGCCTGCCCTTTGCTCAGATTTATGGGTTGGGCCAGGGCTGTGTGTATTTACAGTGTTCTGACCTGAGGACCCCGGGCTGAAGGAGAAGAGGAGGAAACCGGGCCCATTCCATAAACAGAGACAGATAGGAGGGGGAGGTAAAAGGCTTTGCTAGCACTTAACATTTTTAACTATTTGGCCAAGCTTAAGAATTAGCGATTAGATTAGAGTGAAAGAAAAACGAGAGATACGGGTGCAGACTTGGGGGGTAGTCAACTGTGTATTTTTGCTTTTGTCTAGTTAACTTGGAGGTTCTAGGTTGGGCGGGGAAGAGTGGGGTTGGTTTTAACGTGGAAGGTCCGAAAGAAAATGAGTACGTCAGATACAGAAGGAGCTATAAAACGCTTTGGGAAGGCAGAGAGTCTACAAAGATGAGGATATAAACAACATTTAATAAGTTGGAAAATTTCTCCAACTGCGAGTTGCGCTCCTTGTGCGAAGCAAGACTACTTGCATTTTTTAAGCTGTAATTGGTTATAGAAGAAAAATCTCCCACTCCGTGCTTATATGAGAACACATTGACATAGATTACCAAACCCCAATCAATTTTGAGCTGAAATATTTTTCTCAGAGCCTGCCAGCCACTTCAAAGCGGTTCCATTCTCCAACAGGGCTGCCTGGTAAATGGGTCGTCCCTATGCAAAGCCGCGGGCATGCACACCAGGGCCAGCGGGAAGTGCAGAGCCATTGAATCTCCAGCCGTGCTTGGCACCCAAGAACTGAACCCTTCTTCCCCAGGAGGGTTCTTTGTGCACGGGCAAACTGTGAAAGCTCAACTTCTGTTTGAACTATTCTCAAAGAAATTACTTGCTGGAGAAACTGGAGGCTGGGAGGAAAAACTGACCCACCAACTGACTAAATGAGAAATAATGTGGCATCCTAAGTACAATATTCACGGGAGGCCCCAGCAGAAAAGCGACTGGGGCAACATAGTAAGGGATTCATCCACAAATCAACTTACACTGCAATAGAGCAAAGGGCTGTCCCATACATGAGTTAAGCTGTGATGGGAGACTTCGTGAAACATCATCAAATTGTGGCTTTTTTGCTCCTTTTAATATAAAGCAATCATTCCCCTGATGTTACCTATGAAAGCATCTGCAGGAATGATGAGACTGTTTGACTGGAACTTTGTGTTTTAACTAAGATGTGTTCTGGGTGAGGAAGAGGGTTATTATTACAGCCCATTCTGCCTGGGTTTCTGTGACTTGGATTGAACTGTCACTACTAATCGCATGAGAAAATGCGTGTGTGCTTAGCATTGTGTGTGGCATTTCATAAATGTTAACTTGTTTGCTAACTTGTGTGATACTAATGTATGATATGATTATTCAATTCATGAGTCAGATATCAAAAGTAAAGTTAATTCTACAACTGAACTTTGAAAAAACCTATAATACAAAATGCACTTCAATGCATTTTCCTTTCCATTTATGTTTGGCATTTTATGTTGAAAATTACACATAAAAGTCAAAGCTTTGGAGCTAAAGAAGGCATTGGATTATTACCTGGGTGCAGGCTGACTATGTGTGAAAACTTGGGCAAAAAAAAAAGGATGAATGGGAAGGGCTACCCTATCAAGGTAAAATGAAATGTATAATAGTCTAGGAAACTAATTTTTTTTATTGCTATCATGTTTGAGCTTTTCTCTTCTCTAAAATAATGAAACTTCTGCTTTGTAAATAACGCACGCTCAAAGCAGATGCGACCGCATGAGGAGTATTTAAGAGGAATTTTGGGACAATTACATCACAGCTAAAATGCTTTCCTTGTCATTTCTTTTGAGGTCCACTTGCCAGTGAAATAATTTTTTTTCTCTAATATGGTGTGGATCACAGCAACAGTGAGTTCAGATGTCACCATTTAGGAGCAGAGGCCTAGCTCAGTATGCCAGGGGAAAAAAACAACAACAAAAAAACAAAACAAAACACCACGCACCACAAAGAACATTGAGATGAATGGCTCTATTTTATGAGCCATAAAAGTTTTATTCATCTTGACACTGAAACAGGTTTAGGCAGTGAGTTGACACGCCTTAAATAAATAAGTGGAATTAATTCCCCAGCCCTCGAAACAATAGCAGCATGCATGTTGCACGGAGAAATGCCCCATTGTTTCCTGTGGCTGCCTGATATTGATATTATTTGTGTTTTTCTGTGGCCGCTGCCTCAGGGGCCTGGTTGATCCACTTCAGATTCATCCCCTGTTTTATTAGAGGTTGAAAAAGGTTCAAGACCTGTTTGTACCACAGCTCCCACCGACAGCTAAGGAACCAGTTTGGCGTCTGGTTTGTCTGTTGTTTTACTGCTGACCTTCAAATCAACTTTAACCCCTGACCTCTGGAGGCATCTATCATGACAAGAGGCTGTTTAACATAAATGGTGCCCATTTATAGGGGAAGAGACTCCGAAGATTTCCTTTTTATGAAGAATTTCGTTTTTCACCCCTCTTGGCTCAGTCACCACAGGTGAAATCCCTCTTAGCGGCTGGCTTATGAAATAATGTGGAGGGAGGCCTTAATGAGCAGAAAGCACCCTCAGCTGGAGATAAATATATGCAAATGAGATGCACAAACAAAGGCGCCTGGACAGAGAAATATCTGCAATTCCAGCAAAATGCTGCCTGCAGCTCGAAGATGAACAGCTTTGATAAAATGGTAACAAAAAGCACCTTTTTATCCTCCAGCGTGTTTTACATTGCAATAGACCATTGTCATTGCAACCCAGTGGAGCATGCAGAGGTTTTCTGCACTGTTTCAGAAAACTGTTTAAACATTTGTTTTAAGGCATTCATGAAATATAATCAATGGACTGCTTCTGTGTTGTTGTTGTGATTTTTTTTTTTTCCCTGAGTGTGTTTTAGATGTTGCTGTAGTTATTTTACCTGTTGGTCTTTTCGGGGTTTAATATTGCTGTCTTGCCCTGCTATTTCACTTTCTGGTGACTTGTTTCTTCCACTAGCTAGAATGATTTTTTTTTTATTTTTTAATTTCAATGGAAAGAGATTTCAAGTTAATAACTAGTAAGAATCGGCTTTGAGGAAGGGTTTGAACCATCACAGAGCAGCACCCAAACAACTAGTTTTAATGATGGCAATCAAGTGTGTAGAGCTAATTCAGAGACAGGCATGTAACATGCTGATTTTAATAAGCTTTAAAAAGGCAATCTCTAACTTTTAAAAGTCTCTTTTTAATTTAATCGTCCTTGGTTCATATGATGCGAAAACAAACAAAACCATTAAAATATGTTTTCAATATGTATCTGTGGTGTTATTTAATAGTGTTTTAAATTAGCACTGTGTTGGTAAAATATTGATTTGATGAGCTTTAAAAATGGAAGAGCTGAAGTCATCATCCTCTTTGGGGGGAAAAAAGGAACATTTTTCTCTAGAAGGGAATTACACCCCAGCCCCAAGATCTTGCCAGAGACAGGCTGGACCCATGACAAGGAAATTGCTGCATTTGAGCCTACATCTGATGTTTAGGTTAATAATCAAAGCAGTTGAGGTGAGAGAAGAAACACTATACACGTCCCATGTGTCAAAATACTATTGCTCTAGAAGCTCAGCAAGATTTGGTTCTTTCATTTATAATACAATCCTAGCATTCTGCAGCAGAGATGTACGAGGATCTTTACATTGCCTTTGCCTAATTTATTTCATCTTTGTTGCTTGCCTTGGAGTGGAGACATTTCTTCTGAGTACTGTGTAGCTTTCACATTTTATGTGCATTTCATCAGGCAAATGTCAAATTTGCTAATAACAAGAAAATCTCCTCATTTTTAATCATGCCACTCCTGTTGCACGGGGGTGGGGGGTGGAGAGGGGGATAGAGGAGGGAGCATAAATGCATGGAGCAGTCTGGCCAAAGAGAAGGAGGAGAAAATGCTTGTTTGGGTTTTAAAATGACACACGCTCTGTTACCTCGATGTCTGCATCAGTGCATCATTAAATTCAGGATTTCAGGAGTTAATAGAAACTTGGTTATATTAGGGACGCTTTTTCAAGCCCAGGTTTGAAGCAGTATAATTATGTTCAACTGCTGTTGTTTGGAAAGGGCGAACAGCATCTTAGGCGCAGAACAATGAAATTACAGCTGAGATTTAGGTTAGCAAAAGCCGTCTTCTTCAGGCTTTTATGATTCATTATTTCCCATTAAATACAGTATTAGAAGTGTACACTAGATAGCTCATGGTTGCTGCTCTCAGAGCACATTATCTATATTACACAGGTCTGGGGAGCAGAATTAGAAAACTTTGGGGGAATGAGCAATATGTGTTTGCTGATAGAAGTACCATATGGCTCATCTTCTTCAATTGCTTTCATTGCGACTCTGATGCTGGAGAAATTAAAGTTTTATTTGATGTGGCACAGCTTAATGAACTGTCTTCTGTTAGGAAAATTGAATATGTTTCCTGTTATTTGAGCACAGAGCCTCCATGGTTTGGCTGATGAGGGATGCATTATGTATTGTTTATTTAGCATTTTGAAAACAAAAGCAAGATATTGAAGGTAAAATTGATTACTGCTGGATTGCATTATATAATCAAGTTTTCTCCTTTTAAATTTCCCTTTACAATCCTTTTGTAATGTTTTAAAATGAGATCGTTTCATGTTTTCGTTTTTCAAAAATACACAGGGCTTGGTTTTTATCGAGATACCTTTATTTGTAAACAAGCCACAGGAAACTCTAAAAACTCAGTGTTGTTATATTTGTGAAGTTCGAAGAAGAATGTTTGGGAATAAGGAACGTAATTCAGTTTGTGTGAATCTAATTGCAAAACTTCCAGTTTGCCCCCAGTCGATTTAGAGAATCCAACATTTGCTAGTTGAGAGAGGGATGTCATCTTCTTTTGTTTGAAATAGACCACTTCAGAACATGCTGGGGAGGGGCCATAAGAAAAGGAAGAGTTTCTGGATATTTGGAAATGCAAACCTCAAAATATCAAATTTAAGATTTTTGAGTTAGTTGTCGGTAAATGAAAAAGCCGGCTTCAACCTGTGAATTAAAAAAAAATGAAGTGTATACTCCATGAATTTAGATTTTTTTCAACTAAATAAATGTGATTAAAGAAAACATAGACTCAAAAATATACTTACAGGATGAGAAAATTGGGATGTCAATCCATGTGAATGTTCTCCACTCCCTGAAGAATCTGCAAAGAGATATGTTTAGCATTTTTGTTTAATTTCCCCATTTTTGTTTTGGACCCGATCATGTTTTAGAAATATAAGATCTGAATAAACTCTAAAAAGACTGAATGCAAAATCATCTAATCACTGTGTTTCTTTCATTTTTTCAGTGAGAAATAATCCTCACATGTGCTGATGACTCAGGCACATGAATCTGCAACAAGCAAGTAGGACAAAAAATAGTTAAAATGAATCAACATTTATCTGGAAGATACAGTCCTGACCTTAAAAAAAAAAAAAAAGTCATTTATCTTCTGTGTCCTGTGATGTTTTGAGGATTCTGGCAAATATGGCAGTTAAACAAACTTCTCTCACAATCTAAATACTGTCTGTTCAAGAGAGGCTTCTAATGTTTATAGCTCATAAGTAAAGAAAAAAAAAGAAAGAAAGAAACCCTGGTATTTTACCAAGACTAGTGCTCTTGAAAATGTCTCCGAACAAAGTGTCTAAGCAAAACTTTGGCCACAGATATTCTCAATTCCTCATTCTTCCTCTGATTTTTTTTTTTCAATGAGATATTTTCGTATTCTATCATTGCACTCCTTTTCTTGTAATTAACAAATTAATTTCAAAAAATTAATGCCTGACTAGTGACCTGGTCATACAAACTTCCTTTAGAAACAGTTGAGAAGAAAACATCACATTTTTATGAACCCCGTCTCCTGCCAGGGGCCTCGGAGGAGGAACACCATTATGCATTGTTATCAGCGTGGTGTAATTTGACTGTTGACAAAGTATCCGCGGCAGTGAGAATGAGCGCAGTTAGAAGTGTGGCGGATTGTAATCAAGAAGATGCTTAGCTGTGCAACGCTGCATCTTGAGCAGATTTGAATCAACATTGCCTTAAGGGGACACACACACACATAGCAAAAGAAAAAAAAAATCCATTAATTTTTAGAGGAAAATTAGAGTGGCACTTGATGAAGTAAAATTTGACGTGCGTTAATTGCTCTGCAGCTCTCCTAATTAGAGATTTTCAAATTCTTTTACTGCTGTCACCAGGATGGCACATTGTCTTACTCGACAAATCCTGAAATTGCAAATTCGTTTGATCAGGAAGTTTTATGGAGGAAGATTGGACTGTGTCCTCTAGTCAGTCCATTTCCAGAATGTGGACCGCTGGAGAGGAGAGGGGTTTCCAGCATTACCTTCACCACAGATAAAAATAGGCTTTACTAAAAGAGTTTCATTACAAGACTTAATGTAAAGGAAGCAGGTGCTGATGCGATTTTCTTCAACAGATGGAAATGTTCCTTTGATACTCATGCCTCTGTTTCATATGAAATATTTCAGGTGGGGGGGGAGCCAGTGAAAGGCTGCATTATACCCACATTCTCATATTTCTACTTCTATCCTTCAGAAATTGGAGAGAGGGGATTCTGAAAGGCCATGTCACATTTCCCAGGGCTGAAGTCCTAGGCAACGGCAATCCTGGTTCCCCTTCTTATCTTCAAGTAATTACACTGCTCTTTGGCCCTCGGGATGGCACCAAATATGACACAATAATAATTTTGGTTTCCCTTTTTCAACCCTTCCGTCTAGCCCTTGAACCTCTCTTAATTCATTAACATATTGAATTTTTTCAATTTTCCATTTTCTTGCACTAACAATATTAATGCCGGGGTGAAAGCTTGATTGGAGCTAAATTACTTGTTACCTGCTGGCATTTACTTATATGGCATTGAATTATAAAGCTTGGCTATTGTCATGCCTTGGGCGAATTGTTTATGACACCAGTAATAGGAGTAATTGTTATTGTTGAAATTACCTGTCAGCTACCCATAGCAGTGGCCCTTGTCCCACTGACAAATAGTGACAAGGGAGAGGGATCCTCCATGCGTCCCCCTGATGGCTTCTCCTCTGATAATAAGAAGTGCAGGGCCTCTGATAATTCACCTGTCACTGTTGAGTGCAGCTCAGAGAGAGTTAGCCAAATTGTTGTCATTCACTTTGACAAAGACGGCAAGATGCTCTTGTGCAAGAGGAGGGTTATGAAAATAAATGAAATCGTTTACACCCCCTTTGTTTGTTTGGCTCAAGAATCGCCTGGCTTTGTATGAGGTTGTGAAATCGGGGTCCAGTTCTAGGTGTACCTCTGCTCACTCTAAGATGAGGATCCCGCGGAAGAAAAGGCACCTGAGAAGACTCGCTATTCTGCAATTTGCGTTAAGCTATTTCAAAATGATTTTCGGATATAAAGAGAAAGTCAGTGAGACTGTCACGAGAAGTCTGAACGTGTGGTTGAGTGCATTAGTTTATAGCACGTGTAAAATTCACACCTTTTCTCTCCTGTCTTCCTTTTATCCCTCCTTTTTTTTTTTTTTGAATCCATGCAGGCATTCAAATTCAGTAAGTGTTGAAAAATGCACAAATTTCCCAGTTGCAACCAAGTTTTCTTTAAAACTGTAGAAATCTGCATCTTTGACTCTTCAAGTCTTTCAAGATTATATAGTCAAATTTAGGATTATTATTGCAAATGGTCGTTTCCTTTCCATAACTTATCTCTTATTTATGTAATATCTTCATGTGTAAAGAGATAAATGAAACGTAGTTCCAGGTATGAAGCATCAATTATCACAGGCTAACAGAGGAAGCAAAATGACTCTGTTATTGCCAGAGCTCCAATATAAATATTTGCATTTTAAAACCCCTTGGTTTCAGCCTGTGAACCTGTCGTGGGCAGAGAAGGGGCAGGAGGTGGGGGTGGTGTCTGGGACTGTCCACCTCTGAAAGAAAAGGACTTTAAAGTAGTCAAACCTTTGCTTTTATAAAGACCAAAATCATTCTCACCATTCCACAAAGGGCATCATTTCACGCTAGGAAAATTCTTATTTTTAGGGGCCTGTGAGGTTATTCCTCATAGATCTTCTTGACAAATACTTGCTGTTATAAGACGTGGAAAAGAAAAGAAAAGAAATAACTAGGATAAATGTAAAATATTGGCTCCTTATAGGATAGTAATCATCTGTTTATTGGTCTCTCTATCAGACAAGTAATGACCAAGCCCAGCATTAAGTGCCAGCAACATGGCCTTGGGCCTTTCCCGCCTAACACCGGCCATCATCTGATTAGAGAACCTCAAAGAAGTCACTATTGCATAATTTTCTGGGTCTTAACAGCGCAGGTTGGCTGGCAGGAAAACTACCTAAGAGGGTTGATAAAGCAACAGTGAAACATGATTTTTATTTACTCCACTTACATCTTGCTCTCTGAAAAAAGTCTCTGAGTATCTCAGACGCTGGTGGCTACAGAAGAAACCTAAAATTGGTTCAAATAGGAATTGTGGGAGAGGTGGGGGGGTGGGGGAGGCAGCGGGGGAGGAGAAGGCAGGGACGGGGGGAGGGGGTGCACGGTGAGACAGGAAAAGTAAAATTATCTATCCCTTAAAGCTTTCCATGAGCTGCACCTAGAAGTAATTAACAACATTGTTATGGGCACCTAGACATTTTCTTAGGTGTTCTGTATTTAAAGCAGGTAAATAAGTTTTTAGCAGTACTAAAATCATAGATGCAATAACACGATGATGGGAATAAAATGAGTTTTTAATTCTTAATAATAATGTAGTCATCTAAACGCAACCACTCACTGGTTAACCATGTTGAATGTCCCTGATTAACAAGTGGAAGGCAGTGACATAATTAAGAGGTTATCGGTAGTAATAAAAATGCTCAAACCTGTCTTGGAATGTGATCCCTTTAACAGATAATTTTTAAGAATGTAGCATGTCCTTGCTTTCTCTGTCGACACACACGTTAGTGATCCCAGGAGGGAAAATAAACATACGTTTTTAAATGAAGATATTTAAAATGTACCCCATATTTCAGCGTGTTGCTGTAACCTGGTCTTTTTTATGTTCCTCCTATAAAACCTAAATTAAGCCTCTTAGGAGTGGTTTTGCTGTAGGTTTCATCTAAAAACACAATACATTTTAAATGGTTCCAGTACTTGAGTGCACTTTAACATGTGATCACTAACATGTATTCTCTTCCCCTTCTTCCAAGCAGCAGGCTTTTAAAAGGATGAGCCTTCTTTAAAATTTAGCTTCGTTTGAAATGTAAACTTTTAACAAATAGTAATTGCTCCTCTAGCTCTGTTGATAAAGTGACTGGCAGCAAATCTTTTCTCTCTCTCTCTCTCTCTCTTTCGTGTAACATTTTGAAACACCCATCAATGTCAACGGAAACTGCACACATCTCCTTTGCTGCTCTAAATAAGGCTCAGCAATGTTAAGGAAAATGTCAGAAAAAGCTCGGTGGATTAAAGTAACATTTCTGCACCGTGTCACAGAGAATGGCAGGGCAGACTGGTCTGCGTAATTCTGAAATATATTTTGTGCAAAATGCTTACTCTCTAAACCAAATGAAATTTTATTTGGAAAGATTTAAGATTGTATTTGATAACATACAACATCCAGTTGTTTTTCTAGATCTTGTTATTCCTTAATATGCCTTCGGTACGTATTTTTTAAATCAGAGCAATGATACACACTTCTCTTTGCAGTGCGTTTCTCCACCCATGTGCAGCGTTAAAATACATTTCAGACTCTTCAGTGCATTTTTCTTTTCCTTCTCAAATTCCTAGGATGTTCATTCAGTGAAAGCAGTAAAAACGCTGGGCTCTTGCGCATGCATATTTATTGAACTAATCAGTCCTTTTTCGCTTTAAATAAAATTTGTATATGGCTTTGGAGATGCTCAGAACAGTTCACTTAGAGTTATAAAAATACATACATAAAGCATTTACATTTCATTCATGTATTAAAATAAAAATAAATTCCTGGTTTGAGATTTTTAGTTTTGTTCTATTTTTATAAAGAATATTCAATAATTGCAAAAGAGTATAACAATAGTAAAGTATCTCATAGTATCATAAGTACATAATTAAAACTTAACAGTTAAAAAAGAAAATAACTTACGGATTCATTACTGGATACCAATAGACATGGCAAGATTAGTTTTACAGAAACAAGGTAAATCTCAGCTGATTTTAAGTATAAACTTTTTCCAAACAGTTTAAAAATGAATTTAGACAAATTTGTCTCTTAACCTTTAAAGATTTCCTGCCTGTTTCTGTATGTCCTTTATTACATTAATTTTTTATTTAAATTACACCATTAACTGGATATGAATTTATCAAGAATACATGTATTGATTTATAAAACAGTACCATTAATTATTATAATAGCTAGATGTAGCTGATATTACAAAGCCATTTAAAGGTTTTTAATATAACTTGGACATACATAGATAGATAGACATTATGGACAAGACTACAATTTAAACTGGCTACTAGCAGTTAATGAAATCCTTGATTTATATTCTAGTTTAGAGATTGATTATATTGTTGCTTTGTAAAACTATTTATATTATGCCATTTTTCAAAGGATGTCTCAATAAAAAAGCTAAATAAAATATTCAGTCAATTCCCAAAGGAGATTTTGTTTTCTATATTTTAAATGCTAGTGAAAATAATTGATTGTGTGTGTTCCAAGCTTTGTCATTTCCATTCCAGAGGTGGCTTTCCTAAAGGGAGCCTCGTTTGCAATGCACACTTTCGCACACTCTTGATCCTTGCAGAAACAAACCCCTTCTCTTTATTTCATTACCAACACTGCTCCCCGCCCCCCCAACACACAAACCCATGTATATTTCAAAAACCCCGCACATCAGGACACATAAGTCTTTTTGGCATCTTTTATGTTATGCATTTTTTTTTTCTTAAGGTTGTGGAAAGCTGGGACTTACCCCAAAGCCGCAAAGCAGGCAATCACGAAGAGTATTTGGGTAAGAATGCAATCTGAAGAGAAAAAAAGAAAAATGAGGAAGAATATAAGCAAATAACTAACACTTTCAAATTACTTTTCAAATGATAATTAGCCAACGAGTAGATTGAAAGTTAAATTCTTTTCACATTGTACTTGGTTTGGGTCTCCTGGTCTCTTTATTTATATCACTTTTCCTTGCCTGGCAACATATGTTACCGATTTATTATAGTATTTTTACTGTTAGCAGACAAATCTAAAGGCTAGCTGAGAAGGCTAGCTTCATCTGATGACTTTCACAACAACTGCAGGGCATCCTTGAGGGTGAGCCAATAGGCTCTTTTGAAGCTATAATACTATTAACCATTTTGATGCCGAAATATTTCTTATAGCTCAAGTTGGTTCTCTTTTTGTAGGTGCTCTGCGTTTTGCGTATATAAAAGTTTAATGTAAATGATTTGTTTAGTAAATATTTCACTAGCCTTCTAAGCACTTTCTTCCATGTGTCCTAAGTTGCGTAAAAGCCATATGAATGCTTTGGTTTCTTTATTTTCCCTTTCTTTTACAGGACACTGAAATCTGGACACACATTTATAGGTAAACAGCTATCAAGCATCACATTAAGTTGTCATTTCTCCCTCCCCCACGCCATTAATTTTCTGCTATGCTACTAAGAGAAACAAATATCCCTTAGAGTTGCAATGATCACATCACTGATACATGTACAGCCCAGAAAAGTAAAGTTCAAGCGAGAGAGATTCTTTGGGGCTAAGAATCTGAAATTACTTTCCAAATTAGAGATGCCGTTCACTATGGCCATTTTAATGGGTACGTGGTACTAGCCAAAGGTTTATGCCTTTTAATATGTATATGTGAAAATGTCGGTTTTAGAACTGCATTTGTTGACTAAAGGTATTCATTTTAAAGCTGCCAAAATAACAAACTTCTATTTTTGATCACCTGTAATTTACTGCTGTCCAAATTATCTAGTTAACTTTAATTTAAAATCCTGACAATCTCTTTCTCCACTGAAATGTCCTGTGCGGTGTTCACTTACAACTTCAGGTACATTTTATAGAATTTCTTCTGAGTATGTACGGCTTAAAATTTTAGAAATTAAATCTCACATTTTGGAAGCCAGTGTCTCCTGTCTACGAGGTCCAGCTCGGCAACTAAAATTTAATACAATTTTGAAATTAGAATTCAACGAATAAAACCGAGACGTGCGTGGCAGCACTTAGCGGTCTCACTGTCAAAAAAGTGAACTTTGAGGACCTGAAATGCACCCTGCAGCCCTGGGGTGCAGAAGGTGCTAAGAGATATTGTCTGTCCAAACTCACCTAGCATAGTAGACCGTCTGCAAATCATAGCAATGCCATAGCTTTCCAACATGTTTCAGAACACACCCCCTACCTGGTTTTAAGACATTTTTATGTAGCATTTGCCTTTGGAACAGGTGTAAAATAACTACCATCCATCTCACCACTCAGCTAATTTTATTTTTTCTTTATTAAAAGTTCCCGGATCTTCAAATATATACTTCAATATACTTTCCATAAATTTTATTTTAGTATTAATTATAATTACCCCAGCACAATAATAACAAGCAAATTTTATATTAAACATCCATACATATATAATTTCGTCCTAGTCTAATGTCGCTTAATCTTTAAGGAGGTTTATTCTTAAGACCTGTTGTCAGATATTTACCATATTTACTTCTTTTGTCCCCAGGAGGCATCTTATGGGGACTCTAGGTAATTTTAAGTCAGGAGCAATTATGATCAAAAGGATTTCAGCTTCAGAGAATGAGGCCAACTTTCTGAGAGCATAAATGCACAGCAGCTCTGAAAGTGATCATGTGTAGGGTTATGAATACCCAGGTGACTCAGCGCTAGCCCTGTCATTTCATTCCATGAATGAGCCCATCCGAAAGGCACTGATTAGGACACATTCATTTTAAATATTAATTTTCTCAGAAAAATGAATAGAGACAACTCTGTTGAAGGCCCTAGAGTTTCCATCTTCAAAAGATTATATTCTTGAACCAAAACAGAATCTCTAGCAGAGTTTTATCCCCGTATGTGGAAGCATGCCAGCTGTGTACATGGTGCCCCAAGCTCCTTGATGCCCGATGCCTGTTTCTCTTCTAGACTAGGTCCTCCGCTCCTTGATATAGGCCCTTAATAGAGGAAACGGGCTGGACTGTCCCTTCTCTGCTTCTCTTAATCTGCCCCCTCCACCCACCACATTGTCTCTCCCTCCTCCACCTTAAAGCAGGTGCCTTTTATTTATTTTTTTTTTTTAAAGATTTTTTTTTATTTATTTGCGAGAGAGAGAATGAGAGACAGAGAGCATGAGAGGGAGGAGGGTCAGAGGGAGAAGCAGACTCCCTGCCGAGCAGGGAGCCCGATGCGGGACTCGATCCCGGGACTCCAGGATCATGACCTGAGCCGAAGGCAGTCGCTTAACCAACTGAGCCACCCAGGCGCCCCGAGCAGGTGCCTTTTAAAGGCCTGAATCTAAAGACACAGGTTCCTCTGGCTTCCTGGTTGGGGCTCTGTTGTTATCATTCTGTAATATCTCTAACTGGCCCCTTCCAGCAACTGGTCCAACCCTAAGCTGGGATCCCCCATTCCCTGTTGCTCCTCACCTCTACCCCGACCCCCAAGGGCCACCCCCCTGCTTTCTGTTTTGTCCATCACCTCGGTTCTTTTCCCCTGTCTCTGACCTGCACTTTTTCTGGATCAGACGCAGGCAGGTTGAGAGGTAATGAGAACCAGATGGACATAGCGCAGAAATTGCCCAAATGGGTATGAGAATGTGGGGAGCTGTCAGGCATGGAGAGAAGCTGGAATTTTTCAGCAATAAAATGGGATTTATCGCCACTCTACCACAGTCATTGCCGACAACCGTTTACCTTGACAGAAACCCCATTCCAATAGGCCACGCTGATGCAGATTCTTTTTTTCCAAAGAGTGATGATTGGTATTTGTTCTAAGGCTCAAATGGCCTGCACTAAAGGTGAAGCATTAGGCCAAAGCCCTGTATTCCCCACTGAGGCAAATGAACCTGCTAAAATAAGTTCCTTCCACAATGGCTGTGTAATTGAAACCAGAAAGTGAGAGAATTTGATAAATTGCTTGACCCTGAAGGAATGTTAAGGTCATAAATTTTCATTGCATTTCTCTCTCTCTTTTTTTTTTAATTTTTATATATTGATTATATTTAGTATTTGCTTCAAAATTCAACAAGCTTCCAGATCATCGGTTGTGGCCCCAGGGGAGAGCACAGTAAATCATCAATTAAGAGGGCAGGGGGGCCATTCTCCCCTCATCTTCCAAAGAGGAATGTCAGCTCCTCAGTCTTCCAAGGACAGTCATGGAGGTGTCTTACATCTCAGAATTATCCCAACTTTGCACGCAATTTGTCCTGGCGTGGACAAAGTCAAATCCACAGGAAAGATTTTTCTCAGAGGGTGCTGCTACACTTCTATCATTTAAGAATGATGGACTGTTAAGAGACTGGCAATCCATTTACAGCAATCACACCCACACACCTTTTCCCCCTGGAACCTAAAAGTAAGAACAATGGTATTTTAGCCGAAAAAGGTGATCCTCTTTTTTTTTACGTAAATTGAAAGTGTGCCTGTGTGTGTGTGCTCGAGAGCACTCGTGCTGCTGAATGCTGGTTTTGGCAAGTCCGCTTTGAAGTTTTTCAAACTTACTTTTTTAAAATCTGGATTACCTTAATGTGGAAATAAAACATAGGTCATAAAAACAGCCCAAACCACATGTGACATAATGTAAAACGGACTCAAATACTAAAGTCATCACATAGTAGCAAATTTCTACGCATCTTGCTTTAAAGTTTTACTTGTTTTTCTAAGAAGTGAATAAACTAAGCTTGTCAGCATTATAATTTAGCTGTATTTTCTACCAATTACTTGTAGTGATACATTACAAAGAGTGTCTATATATATATATATATCGCCACTCTACCAAGTTAAATAATTTCTTGATAGCCAAAACTTCTTATCCTTGAAAATTTTAAATAACCCATCTCCTTTGTATTTGTGTGCTTGACTTGTTCTCACTGTTAAATAAATAAAATCAGAAGTATTTAATCACTAATGCATAGCTTTTATGTTCAGAATTTTCAGAATTCACGAGACCCGAACTGGGATGCAGAGCAGAATTTCTGATTGACCACTGGGACAATTTCTCTAATTTAGGAAAGAGTCATGCCAATTTATTTTCAACTATTAATGATCAGTTTACAGATTGAAACCAATACTAGCTCGGGGATGTGTAAGCATTAAATAAGTACATGTGCATTTCTTGAAAACCATCTAAACTGTATAAGAAAAAAATAATTTATGGTGCATTCTTTTAAGTATTATTGGTAGGGGTGAGGCTAAATAATTTCCAGTCCTGTATCCTACTTTGTTTTGCTCAAAAGTAATTAATGACAATATTTATTCAGAGTATTTCTATCTCAAAAAATTTTTCTTGGTCAAGTAAAGAAATTGGAAAGAGAGTCCATAAAAGAAATAAATTCAAATTCTTATTATTCCAAAACATGAAAGTCAGAGAATTTGTGAGTGAGGCAAAGCAGTAAGTAATAAATAGTTCCAAGGCTGTTGAAAATCTTAGAATCTGGCACCAAAGTACAGGGAAAAAGATAATTTTCATACATTAGTGCTTATATGTATATATATATTCTAATAAGAACTCAGCAAGCATATGTTTTCATCTTATAGAGGGGAGATCATTATGTACATATGATCTACTTTTAATCTAGTGGCTTTGTCAGTGTTAAAAATGTGACTTCCTTCCTCTGCACTTAAAAATTTCATTGCAAGACTTTCAGAAAAACAAAAAATAAATAAATATATGCATATGTATGTATATACACATATATAAGTATAAATAAAATATGAACAGAAAATGGCTTCAGTCACTAATATTTTTGCAAACTAATGTTCAGCTGATGCAACTCAATTTTATTTTGCATCACATTAGTGTCATAATGG